AAGTGTCGACTCCAGATCTTCAAGTAGGTCGTTGATCAAGGGCATTGAATAGATCATCAGCTGGGTTAAGCTGTTAATCAGCCGATAATCGATACACATACACAACCTGATATCCACTCCATTCTTCTTGATGATCACCACGATCGGGGAAACCCATGGTGATCTAGAGTAGTTGATCATTTTGGCGGACAATAGACCCTTGATCGAGTCTGCCAGCTTCTCCCTGAACTGGATCCGCAACTTACGACACTTCAGGGCGATAGGCCTCGCTCCTCCGACGTCGATATCGCACACCACACCTCTAGCCGGCGGCGGGAGGGCATTTCCTTTGCCGATCAAGAGATGTCGGAACTTCCAGATCCTTTGGCGAAGTCGATCAATTTCTTCTGGGGTCTGATTATCAGATCCACACAGTTGAATGCCCTCGATCTTCACATCTTCCGTCATCACAGGCACTTCCGGCAGTACAGCCATCTGACCATCGACATCTTCCGCGTACAGATCACTTCCTTCATGGTAGTACACACATTCATCATAATCTTGATCTGAGTCCCATGTGAGGTCCAGATCCGATGCGCCTGGTTGATCTTCAACAACAGATTATGGATCCCTGTCCGTTTTTTTGCAACATAGATGCGGCGCACTTGTCGTGCAACAGATCACCGGTCACATGTCCCGTCCCAGATTGTACACTCATCATTGATGGCAGATCCGATCCGCCGCATTCCGACGATGATGTTCCTTGATCTCGACCTCTCGAATGTAATTGATCCTGACTGACAACCCCAATTTCATCTCGGGCATCCTCTTCTCGCATTTCCACCACGCCTATAGTTTCCTCCAACGACAGATTAGTCGTCCACACGTCTGACGTCACTTGATCGAGATCTTCTAGTGCCTCCTTGACCGTTACAGCATGCGATATAGGGCCTTCGTCTGCGATAGACGACAGATCCGACTCCTCACTTGCGACAGACGCTAGATCCAACGGTCGAATCTCCGACGGCGACTCGTCCGAGGGTAGGCAGTCAGGAATATCTTGATCCTGACTCGCCTCGACCTTCCGACACTGGATCAGCGTCGTCTTCGATCTTTGGAGTATTGCACGCGGAGTTTCGTACTCGGGTCGCTCCACCGCGGGCACCAGCGGGATCTTGACCTCCATTTCTTCGGATCGGGTGTCTGTCGAAGCTTCCAACGCTAGATTCTTCCACTCCACGTAACGCCGAGAGCCGATCAAGATAAAACCCGGTATCCGTGGCACATGGTCTCCGGCCAGCCAGATCCCGATCCGTTAGTCTTGATGCAGGGTCAACATCTCGTCCCCGATGTTGGCGATCGAGATATATTTCGTCCTGCCTGGTCCACCGGATATTGTCGGCACCCATTGATCCCCACGCGAGACCCACAGCTTGTCATAGATCGACGACCTCAGGCGCAATGGCAGTTCCACCGACTCTCCTGCTGGGATCCGAAGATATTGGCTGACGTTAACGATCTTCGCCTTATTGCTATAAAGCTGTCGCCTCCCGC